TCCTCAGCACAGTGAGCCAGCGCTCGCTTTCGCATGCTGAATTACAGAAGCACTTAAGCATTGTCTGACTTTTCAAGCAAATGCCTCGTCTTGCTGCCAGCAAAGGGACTTCTCAAGTGGTTTTGAGTATCTGGCTGACGCAAAGGCTGTTGCTTATGAAATGCTATATTAGGAAAAGAGCGTTTATTGTTAGCGTGGGTTTCCACCACAGTTCCTGAACACTTTGCTAGATAGGATTTTTTTTTTTTCTAATTAAAAGAGAATGCCACAAATAAAAGAGGCCACAATGTGAAACTTAAAGCAACCGGTATTTCAAATACAGTCCCAGCTATATTGTCATAAAAGCATTTTTCAGTGATGTTTTTCTTGTACTTGTTAACGTACTCGTTAAGCAAGTAAGTTCCCTCTCTGAGATGTATCCAGCATGTCTTTTGGCCCATAAAAATAAGGAATCAACATTTACAATTATAATTGCAGCAGAGCTTACTGAAGTATGACACTACTGCTTGCTTGCTCCCTACAGAAGGGAAAGCAGCAGGCAATATTACTGCGTTTGTGGCAAGCAGAAAGCGTTCTGAACTGAACACCTTTACATCATGGGAATACTCCAAATGTTTTGCATGTAGATACCCTTGATAAAGGCATTGCACAATGAGGATCATCTCACTTACATATCTTAGTCATTAAAATGACTCACTGTTGCATTCAGCATCTTCTCAGATATTACATTGCCAGCCAAAGCCCAGTGTCCTTGCGATCTGTATCCAAGGTTACAGTATTTTCTACAGTGCATTGTAACAGACCACGTTCCCCGGCTTCCTTTGCATACAGGCTAATGGACACGCTGCCTTTTGCTTTGGTTGTGTTGAATTTTATAAATGTAACTCCTTTTTCTGCATGTATTCTTTCAGTAGAAAAAAAGTGAGAAACATGGTTGGTTTGTTTTTTTAATATATGTGTTCTCTCGCGCTGCCTTGGGGTTACCTATGGAAAGTGATTTTTCTATATATTTGTGTATACTTGGAATTTTAACAGATTATTCGCTTGGTTATTTATATATCACTTTGCCCGGTTGTATTCCTGATGCTTCTGTGCTGTCTTCGTGTGTTGCAGTTTCTCCTCGGTGGCAGGAGTGCTGGGGAGCAAACAGGCTGCTCCAGCCTATTTCCCCCCCCGTCCGTTGCCGTGTTTTGGTGTGGGTATCTCCCCAGGCTTGCTGACCCGCATTGGCTGTAGCCGCTCGGGGGTTGTTTGTGGCGTGGGAATTGTTATGTTCTGCATTTGACCGTTCGCTGACTTTTCCTCTCTGGCAGCAGCTTCTCTTCACCTGGGTTTGTTCTGAGCAGCTCCTTCCTTGAAAATCGTGCAGTGTATATGTGAAGCGATAGTGAAGTTCGACCTAAGGTTGAGAAGAAGCTCATGAAAACCCAAGGAATGCTCCGATTTCTAGTCAGCCACATGTCAGACTAATTAAACTTGAAACAAAACCTGCCTTTTCAATAAAAGCTGCTATTGTACAAACTACTTTTTCTGAAAGATTTTTTCACTTTCTGGGCCTGTATTTAATGCCAGTTCTCAATATTAAAATATAAATGTCGTGATTTTATGAAGAAAAGTGGTCAGAAAACTTCCCTTTATATTGTGACTTTTCTTTCTTCCCTCTGGGTGAATGTTATTTGTCTTCTAGAAGTGGTTTTGCGATTAGTAGTTGGAGCTGTTTTGGTTTGTGCTATGCTGGACTCAGCTGATATTTGAAATCCAATGAGAATAAGTGTTATTAATTGACTTTAGTACATTGTTTACTCCCTTAATTCTTGCAATGCTTTATAAATCCTTTGTTGACATTCAAACCTTGTTTTCAATAAAGAGCTCGTTTCATATCTGACCAACCTGTGAAGTGGCTTGTTCCAGGATGGAGCCAGAAAAAAATGTTGCTTTTGCTGCTTGCTGGTACCCAAAGGTTGTCATCTCTGGTAAGAGCTCCGCGGGCGCTGGCCTGGGGGGGCTCCTCCGTAGAAATACACGGGCGGGGTGAAATCTTCCTGTGACTTGGGAGAAGCCTTGAACGGTTGACAAAAAGGGCCTTAAACATAATGAAGCTGTGTAAGTGAAACCACCTTTGTGGCTAGTATTTGAAAGGTGTCTCGCCAAATAACATATAAAATATTCTGCAAGCGCTTAAGATACCGTCCATTTGGAAAAGCCTATGGGGAGCAGGAAGAATGATCTTCCCCTCCAATCCAGCTGGTGTGCTCACAGCAGTCCGGAGTTAAAACTGTGGCGCGCTCTCTTCTTTGGTTTCTACAGATTTGAGGATGCATGAAAAACTGGACTGGGGGGGGAACAGACACTCATGTAAACGATCTTCTCTTAGAATGCACACAACTTTTGCAAAGAAATACCTACAAGTATTAATACCATTGTACTTCTCCATAATATAATCTCTAATGGGTATTTCAGGTGAATTCTTTATTTCATAATGTGCTTTATTAGGCAATTACATTTTTTTATAGGTCTAACTTTCCTTTTTGTTTAGAAGTCAGTCTTGATGCTTTCTTGGCCGAACATTAGCATCTTCCCCTCCCCTAGGTACTAGGGCAGCGTGTGTATAAAGTATATATAATTACTCAAAATAGAGAAATTTTACCTTCCAGTTTTTATATAGAAAATACTATTAAATTATACATAGTCCATTTTTTAGGTGGTTTAATTTTGAAAGCAGATTTCAGTTTTTAGTATTTTTTCCCCTTTGAAATGTCATGCTTTCAGAATGTCTCCAGACTAATGATTAGTCTTGATCTTTAATCTCTATTCCTTTTCTTGCTTACCATTTCCCTAGTGCAGTTTAACTCATGATAAAAATAGTGATGAGTAGCGTGTATTTTTTAAAATGGATAGTCAGTCTCCTACGTCTGCTTGTTTGTCGCTGAAACCAGGGCCAAGAGACACAGCCGCGAAACCTGAACTGCACGCAGCTGATGGCAAAGCTCACTTTTATGTCAGGGGGCCAAAACGTCATTCTTGCTCATCTGCAAACGCAGGAGGAGACCTCCCTCTGCCAGCGCGGGACTGCGCTTTGTACTTGTGACACTGAAGGACACCGAGATCCAGGTGTTGATATTGTTGGGGAAAATGGTGTTGAAGTATTTTGGGTTTTTTTTATGTGCGGTTTTGTCTAAGTGCATCCTGGATAACGGATAAGAGAAGGGTTTGCAGGGGGAAGGGGCTATATGTAAGTGCACACAGGAAACGTCTTTTGGGCTTTGGGTGCCCTTGCAATGTTGAGGGATGGGCAGTAACTCTTTTCACAGCTGTGTCTCCATGCGCAGGTTTGGCATTAATGCCGTTTGTTGAACCTACGGCCAACCTCGTGACGTCCATGCCCATAGGGGTTCAGAGCGCTCTCACGTGCCCGTGTGCCTCCAAGACGCCCAGTAAGTGGCCTCGGGCCTAATTTAAAGTCTGTGAACTTCTACATAGTTCACAGACTTGACCCTGCTGGACCTCTACCTGGAGCCTAGAAATTACTGAGCGCCGTTTCCTTCCCCTGGTGAGTAACTTTTAAGCAAGTGGCATTTGCCCACTCTGGTAAAACTCTTGCCTCTGCAGCAAATTTGAAACCTGACTTCTGGGTCGGAGCTGATCAAAGCCTCCGTATCAAATTCCCTCTGATCTAGACTTTTATTCCAACCAGGTCTGGTTTTACTCCTGATCCAACTGAGGTTGAGGCCATTTGCACAATTTCATATCAGTGATAACTGTATTTCAGCCCTAGGGGCTTTTAGTCTGGGGAAACCAGAAACCTACTTGTGCTGCAGTCCTCACGCAGTGTGGTTCAGCTCGGAGAAGACCTTTAACCGTGTCTGCTGTTCCTTAAAACCGCAGCTGCTCAGCTACGACTTCGGAAGAGAAAAATTTTGAAATAGCCAAATTAATTGCCTGGCTTTTGTGATGAGGATCAGGAATTGCAGGACACCTGGATGGACTGTAAACTGCTTAGCCAAGTGACAGGAACAGATCGTGGTATTTTTCTCAAGACTGAGGTCCAGATTTGTTTGAAGTCACTGCTCAGTATTACACCATGTTCTCGCTGTTACTTGAGATACATTAGGACAGTTCTGAATAGGAAACCAACACATGTTCTTGTTTAATCTTTATTGATTTTTTTTTTTTTACAAGTATAGAATCTCATTTAAATCAGATAGCTATCTCGGCATCCAGCAATCTGCGTATTCCTCCTTCAGAGATGCAACAGAGGACACGAATGTCTCATCGAGGAATGGACTTGCCTTGCTCTCCTGGTGGTCCAGTTACGCTCCAACGAAACCAGTCCCTTCCCATCCGCAGGGAGGGGAGCGATGTCCAGGAGGCAGCGGCTACGCCACGGAAAGGCTTCTCCCAAGTCTCAGGTTGGAATCGTTCTCGTCTCACAGAGAACAAGGCAAAGCCTTCTCCGTAAAGCCATCCTTGTCCGGGAGGTTGAACAGATCGCCATTTTGTGCAGAATAATTCTAGAATGCAACATAACCTTGAGGACATAATGAAGTGATTTAGAAATGGGCTAAGGCAGATCACGACCATACTTAGAGCTAAGTAATCAAGCAGTTTTACCTACTTCCAATTTACTGGTTGATTGAATATTAGAAAACATGGCCCAGCCCCTTTGGAAGATGGCTATGCACACACAGTTTCCTAAACGTTTCTTTGGCTGTCCAGTGCGGGGAGGGTTAACCTCTCGCCTCTGTCTTGAGCCATGTTTGGACAAGATCTCTGTTTACTTTCCACCCACAAAAACCACCAGCATTTTTCAGTAGTGTAAGTGTATTCCAGGACTATTGCCCTGGCATGGAATGAGTGAAAAAGGATCTTGTATTTATTTGATTTGAATAATTCAAATTTTATTTTACTTGTGGCCGACACAGACTGACTTCACTCTTTTTTTTTTTTTTTTTTTTACTTTATTTCAGATTTATTTTACTTGTGGCCGACACAGACTGACTTCACTCTTTTTTTTTTTTTTTTTTGACTTTTAATACAGATTAAGAGCTGACTAAAGATCTCAAACACTATATACTGAGAGTCACTACAGATGTTAAAGAAAACACCAGCACTAGCACCACAACCCTGCACGCCTGCTTTCCTGGCTCTTGGAAAAACCTGCTGTCTTAGAGTAGGACCTCGCTCGTTCTGTGCTAGTGCCGCTCCCTAGCCACTACAGGATTTTGCAAGGAAGCAAACAAGCTATTAACGAAATATCCAGGCTACCGCACCACAAAGCGCACTTTGTTCATTAACTCTGCCAAATGCCTTTTAGGCCTTTCCTCATAGGATACTAATAAACTGACTAAAAAAGGGAGGGAGGCTTTATGAAAGGAATAAACTTATAAGGAGACCTCATTCTGCTAAATCAGAGAAATGCGGATGGGGGAATCCCTGTAGAGAGATGCTTTGAAGGGAATCGTTGGCCTTGCAGGTTAGTGAGGTGAGAATTAGTTGAGGTTCTGCTGTATGGTAAAGAACCAACGTTGGCTGTAGAAGGAGAAGGGAATGTCTCCAGTCTGGTCGACTCAAAACAGCGTGTCCCTTCTGTTGTGCTTCCTGTCTGCAGTCACATTAAATTCCCCAGTAAGGCATCAGGGGTCTCCTCTCGCTCTCATAAACGTCTGGGATGACGCCATACGGTGTCTGTACCATTTTAACCGTCGTCTTCCCAAAGAGCTTCCTCTCGTAGTCTATCAGTTGCCTCCAGAAGCCCACGTTGGGGCGTATAACGGGGCGTCTCGATTTGACCCAGTTGTATGCCTCAAAGAGGGACACCTTGTGGTATTTCATCAGGTAGGCGATGCAGAGGGTGGCCGACCTGCTCACGCCGGCGGCACAATGGACTAAGGTGGCCCCGTGCTTCCGCGCCACGCTGTTTATCTTGTCGGCAACGCTGTCGAAGTACAGGGAGATGGGGGCGTTGGGCATGTCAGCCAAAGGCACTTTCACGTATTCAAACTGGGGCCAGTTAAAATTGGGAATCTCGATGGTCGCATTGATTATGCAGGTGATTCCCCGGGAGAGGAGCAGGTGCCGGTTGGAGGCGACACTGCCCCGGCTCAGGTACAGCGAGGGGGTGATTTGGGCGATGCCCCCGAGGGCACTTTCGGAAAGCATTCGTGGAGCCATCAGAGTTCTCGGTAAGGAGTTGTGGCTTCTGGAGGTCATGGAGGATATTGACACTCACGCTTCCATTATGGGGAGAGATCCAACGGGATCTTCAGCCAAGGGAAGGATTGTCTGGCCTGGCGGTGCTAGGACAGCAAGAGCTTCCTCCGCTTAGTCACTGCAAAACACAAGCAACGCCACATGAGCGGGGCAGCTGTCCGATGAGACCACGTCTATGCAAGAGAACAGGAAAACCCAACTCACCCTGCTGTGGCCTGGACGACAACCTGCTGGCAAACCTCCGCGGGGTAAAGTGGTTCTGGGTTTGCGCAGTGCTTATTACCGTGGGGCCCCCAGGCATTGCCTGGACAGATATTAACAAAAAAGTCTCCCAGCCTAATTAGCTCCAATTACTTGTCAAGGGTTTGGGCAGCCTACCTGTGGGCCTGAACAGCATTTCACCCGGATTAGCACGTGGAAGATTAGCTACGCCTTTTCCATGCTCAAAAGCAGCAACTTCGCAACTGGCCAGAGTCCAAGGGGATGGTGAGAAACAGCTCACTGGGGCTGGATGCAGATGCCAGCAATTTAGATTACCCTGCCCTCTCCCCAATGCCACCCTTCTCCTTTTTTAGGTATATGAAAGGCCCCACCAAAGCACATAAACAGAGGAAAGTCGCTCATTAGAAAAGGCAGTGAGTCATGTCCATCCAGATCAGTAATCAGCTCTCATCTAGGCTGGGGAAGTGTGGAAAGAGTGACCTGGTTATGTCAGAAGATGAGAGTAAAACCGAAGCAGAGGCTGGGACAAGGGAGGCTCTTTTCCTGATGCTTTAATGACTGACTAATGCTTTGGAGAAAGACGTGTTCTGCAAAGGCTTGGGTTCGCCTGTGTGAGCCACGCATTCCCACCTACCTCTGCTGTGGTCCCCAGGAAGGACCCCCACTTTTATTTCCCCTTCTCCTTTAGGACTTCTCCGAAGCCAGTGGAGAAGCCACAAGCAAGGGGATGAGCCCCGAAGCATTAATAATTTGCAAGTCCCTTTTAGCCAGTCTCCAGCCAGAGATGCGCTGTGGGAGAGGCTCTGGTCAGTGCAGGCTGGGGAGCCCCTGCTCTGCCCAGGTACGTCTGAGCCCACCAAAGCGTCGCCGGGCTTCGCACGGAGAGGATCTGGGGGATGCTCAGCGCCTCGGGTGAGAGGGTGTCTGTCCCTCCAGCAGTTAACTCTCCGGGTCAGAGAGTCCTTGAAGGGCTGAGACACCCCGACTGTGGCTCCCCCGGCCCTGACACGACAGTGCAGCCATCTGTCTGCATCCCGCGCTCTGGGAAACACCGGCAGGTCTCAGCAGTATCTGGTAATGCTGCCAGCAGATTTTTGGCATGGCTTTGCGGTACGGTAACTTAATGAGCATAACACCGTCTCCTCTGTGGCTTGTTCCCTGCTGGCAGCTACTTGAGCAGCTCCTGCAACCACGGGCCCAAAGTGCCGGCGCTGCAAGAGTTCATGCCCTGACAAGAAGATTCTGGCTGCAGCTGTGAGCGCTCCGCTTCCCCTGCGGACACCCTCACCGCAGTGACCCAGCTGGAGCAGCAATGAAAGGCACGGTTTTTCAAAGGAATAAAGTCCATTGAGCAGGGGAAGTCCCTGCTCTCAAATAGCTGTTACGGACAACACAAAGGATTCGGGCACTTACGCTCAGTAACAAACTGTCCTGCTCCAAATCACCGACTGGCACACGGACGCCGTGGGCTGCTGAAGCTGGGATGTTTCATAGAGAGTGTCCAACGCTGCGCTGGGGAGAGAAGAGAGCATGGGGTTTACTGGGATCTGTGCTGGACCCAAACAGGATACCAGGCAGCCCCCTCCCCTGAGGTATGTTTAAGCCACCAATTTAGGTGTTGTCCAAGAACTAGGAAGGAGGACCACAGCTTCCCTGCCTGCTCCCCAGGGAGAGACAGAGGTCTCGGGAAGGCGCTTGCTGCCGACAGTGTACTGTCACCAATTGCTGCCAACACAGTATTCAAAATCACGTTAGGCCCAGAGGAATCTGAGGCTGGCACAAAAGTCATGACAAAAAAAAAAAAAACCAAACAGTTTAAAGTAATTAATTTGCTCTAACGTCTCCTTTAGCAGTCACCAAGACTCTTGCCTAGTCCCGGAGAGCTAGTGCGGGTCTGCGTTTCTTTTGATGGTGCCCAAAGCACACTCTCCTGGGAGACCCTCCGCAAGGGCTGTGCTACCTGGTCCTGCTCCCTGAGGCACTGCTGGAATTACAGGGGCAAACAGGAAGGGGCAGAGCTGGCGCCACGAGCCGCAGCATCCCGCTCCCGGAAAGTGGAGGATGGGGGCAGCATCCCCTTCTTTTATTTCTCCAGCCAGATCAGAAATAACACAAGTCCCCAGAGTGCAGGTGAAGCAGCTGCCTGCTGGGAAACGCTGCTGGACCACAGGAGAGTGAGAGTAACGCCTAACCCCAAAACAGCTCTGAGCAAGGCTGAACTTCTCTTGCCCTCCCTGCTTTCATGCAGCTCATCCGTCGGCCATCTCCGGCACAGCGGGGCTGACAGCAAGGGGCTGGCAGCTGCTCCATGCCCCCTCCCTGGGACAGGGGCATGTGGAGGGAGGGCCAGGGAAAGGATTCAGTTTCCCTGTGCATGGCCTTAAAATGATGAAGAAACCTGCACGCTGAGGTCCGGAGCGGGAGCGAGGGGGAAATGGGCCAGCTTAGCTTTGGAGCCAGGGTCAGAGAAGGGAGAGCTGCTGCGCCTGGTGGGTCTCGGTGCTTTGGGGACGATGGCTGGCTGGGAAAGCTTTGCACAGTGCTGCAGAGAGGCCCGTGCCGGCATGGCCCGTGGCGCAGGGCTGCTGGGAGGCAGGGTGGGCCAGGAGGCTCTGGCAGGCGCTGGGGAGCTGAGACAAGCCTGCCAGAGGCCAAACGACAAACCCAAACGGGATTTTTTAACGCTGTACCTCCTTTGAGGATGGCTGGGAAACGTTAGCAGAGGGTGACCTGCAAACGTGCTGCGGGATGGCAGGAGAGGCCGGTGGGTGCTGCCGTGGCACCTCGCCCTGCTTGCCTGCCAAGGGCCTGCTGGTGCCTCGGCACCTCTGGGAGCAGGGCAGCAGCATCCCTGCCTTGCTCCCACAGACCGGGGCACCCGAATTGCTGCCCCAGTGGGGCCCTGACGTGCTGCTTGGGGTTGAGCATGCTCACCTGCCCTGCCTGCCCCATGTCCATGCTGCTGCACCTGGGCTCCAGCTGCTCCCCATGGGACTCGGAGTGCTCCCTGGGGCATTTTGGGAAGGGCTTTGCTGCTTTCCATAAAGTGGTTCCTGTTTGCAGGCAGCAACTTATCCAGACATTTGCATGTGACAGGCTGGGCTCGCTCTGCAAACTCTGCCGCCGCCGGGCTGGCAGCAAACTGCCTGCGCACCACGTGCAGCCCGCTCCCAAGCAGCCACCCGAGACGGCATCGCATGGCGGCCAAGACGGACGGTCAGTCGGACGAGCGGCTTCCTGCTAGGGGACACACTGCTCCCCCGGGAAGAGAGGAGCAGCGCAAGGGAGGGGCCCGTCTGTCCCACCTCTGCTTGCTGTCAGCAGCAGCAGGGGAACGGGGCAGATTTTGGGGCCAGCTGGGAATGCAGGCAGGTGCCCGCAGTCCCGTGTCCCAGTCACACACCACTTCCCTGGGGCTCCAAATGGCCGACACCAGGCAGCACTGCCTCCGCTCGAACCAGAACAGCTCTCATCCAGAAAGAGTTAATGTTTTGGAGAGGAGTTCATTACATAAGCGAGAGATAAGGCTGCTGTGCTCCCTCAGACCAAATCCCTGGTAGCCGAGGATGCTGCTCGGCTGGCCGCGGCAGGAGCAGATGCTGGGGGAAAGGCGCTAAGGGATTGGGGCCGGTGCCAGCGGCCCTTCCCGTGTTTCACGGCTCTCGCAGCAGGAGCTGGCTGGCATGCCACCGACTGCGACATGCTGTCTCAGGCATGTGACAAAGCCGCGGTCCTCCTGCCCACACATACCAGGCTGAGCAGCTGCTGGCTTGCAGGGAGCCTGAAAATGAAAGGGGCCTCGTCTGCCTCCGATGGCAGAGGCTGCGTGCTGGGTGCAGCACCTTCAGCTGATGATTAGGAGCTACCCCCAGGCTCGCAGGTGTGAGTCTTTATCTGTCCCGATAGCTGCACCTTCTCATAACCCTCCTGCCTGGCCCCAGCCAGCTTCGGACAAAGGCTTGCCTGAAGTCTGCTGTTTCGCTCCCGTGAAACTCCATTTGCCTTTCTCAACACACCCTCTTTATCCTGCCGTGTCCCTGCTGTAATCCAACACTGTTGCTCTTCATGCAGTAGTTCCCGTCATTGTGCTGGGGCAGAGAGAGAGGAAAAGAGTGAAAAGCCTCGTCCCAGCCGTTGCTGTGAGCAAAAACAAGAGAAAAATAGCTGAAGATCAAATGAGGCACGCACACAGCCCAGCCCTGGCTGTGCCACCTGTGGTCCCTGCAAAGGACAGTGGCAGAACAGGCCAGCACAGGGGTAAACAGGCTCCTTGCACGGGCATGGGGAGAGGCGCTGGCTGCGGGTCCAGCTGTGCCTCATTCAGCCTCTGCACAGAGACGGGGAGAGCTGCACTGATACAGCCAGTTTGCACCATCTCATGTGGAAAAAAAAAAAACAAACCAAAAAAACCCCCAACCAGGTTGCACCAATCCATTGGAAAAAAAAAAAAAAACAAACCAAAAAAACCCCACATCTTTTCCCATTTGTTTGAGTTTCCCACC